TGCGCAGCAGTGGGCTGTTAGACTGAGTCATTGTCTGACTACACCCTTGTGATAAGTTGGGAACAGGCTGGGAGTTACTAAACTCCCAGCTCAGCTGGAGACAGGCGTGGGGGTTTCCTAATTAATAGCCTTCCCCATTGTTCTAGTGAGGACTCCTGATATGCTTTCTGGATGTATCTTATCTTTGCCATTGTTTCATTTCCTGTTTATTTTCCGCTAAATTTATCTGTTCATTTAACTCCATATGTTTCTGTAGCATAATATTAAAGCATCGCTGTGAAACCTCCTGTCTGTACCGGGTACTCGAAAAGCCTAAGCCACAAAACCCAAGTATTCTGCAGAGTTAATGGTTTTATGGTAAGCTAATGCCTTCTCTGCTAGCCTGTCACTGCTCTGCAAGCAAAAAATTCACCCATGTTGTCTATTATAAGAGTTAAGCTTGTTAGCTGATTAGCCGCCCACCTTGTTAACGTCTTCTTTTTGTCTTCTCTTCCCCTCCTTCTGTCATTAAGCGAAAAAGCAGGGTGTTGGTGTTTAGCTTTGAAGATGGTCCCTGCTTCAAGCCTGAAGAGCTGGTGCACCCAGATAAAACCTCAAACTCTTCCAGTGATGGCGATATCTTCACATTTTATTTTTCTATGATGGCAGTTTCTCATTTTTCTTCTGATCTTCCAGACTTTATAATAATCTGTTCTTTTTTCTGCCTCAGTATGTGTGAGGCACACAACCTTGACTCTTTAGGCTTTGAAAACCCTAGCGATGAGCCTGATAGGAAAAAGTGCAAATACCATGGCCGTTTTCATCCACGCTGTTTGGCCTGTAGTTGAGGGTACCTTGTTAAATTAACATTTGGGATGATCAATGATGTTTGCTTTTGAAACATAAGTAGTGCTGCTTGCAGAACAAGTGATCTAACAGCTTGCTGCCACTGAAGGGGACTATCCTAACTCCTGCTTTGTGCCAGATTATTGCTCATCTGATTGCCTTCAAAAGTTGCCTCAGTTAGGCAAGTAATCAGTAAAACAGCTTATCTTCAGGCCATTGTGTGCGCCAACTTTCTAAGGCTATAACTGATTTCAAGGAGACTGAGGTTTAAATGGAGTTCCCTAAAACAATGGGATGATTGCTTCCTGGAAAAATGGAGGCTCCACACTTGATTGTAACTAAAATCCCACCTAGGAACAGGGGCTTTGGCACCAATATTAGTGTGTTGAGTCCCATTGAATTCTAGATTACATTGGTAGGCCTGCTTTCGTGGGGCTGGAAATGTAAATAAAATAAAGACATAGTGTGTTCTCCCCCTGCTCCTTCTTTTGCACCATCTCTCTCTCCGAGTTCCCAGATCTAGGGCAGTCTGGTTATGCAGAAAACTATTGACACAACAAAGACTGAACATTGCGGCAGGAGGGGAAAATGGGTGACTGGGTCTCGGCTTTCTTTACCTGAGTCTTACCAATGCCATGATCGGAGGTACAGATTGACTGCTAAGGCTCTTGATGCTCCCTTTGTCAAGGAGTGCCTCCTAACACACAAAATTGTGACTCTTTTTTAAAAGAAGAGCATCCTCCAAGGATGTATGTATACAAATGGGAGATCGGTGCTAGATAGCAGAGCAATGAGGATTCAAAGATTGTGGCAGGAATGATTTTTGAGGGCTGAGAAAGCTGGGGCAGATGTGGTGCAACTTCCTCCTTTCCCAACGCAGTTGAAGGAGCGTGGTGATATAGTGTGTTATTGGTGCTGACAATTATGAAGCCATGAGCGGGGAGCGGTACTACAGAGGTTCATAGCTTCCGCACAATTTGAAGGGATTGAATTTGTCTCTTCTGTCTCTTTACACCAAATCTCAGGTACCTTGGAATATACGTGAGCTAGCCAAAGGCCAGTTACTTAAACAAACAAGGGAGGTTATTAAGATGTGGGATTCAGTAGCTGGATGCAGACATGGCATCTGGTTAGCACTTTAAAGCTGAAGCATAACATTAAAAAAAGGAACATAATTAGGAGGACCTAGAGTTTGTTCCAATTTCTACTAAGTTCCAGTGACTCTTGAGTAGTTTGATATCCCACGGAAGTCCTGAAACCCAGACATTCAGGCCGTGTTATTAGATTATCGGTGTACTGATCTCTCCTTTGGACAGCGGTAACAAATCTTGATTTGTTGGCAACCATCCAACTGTATCTTAATAAACTTGGTAGGAAAACTTGACGTTAGTGTTTATGAGAAATTCTGTAGCGGTCAAGACTGGCGACCTCTGTCAGGTGTAGATATCGAGGATGCTGCGTCATGTGTAGTATTACTTGTGTAGAGAGCTTGATGTATTACAGTAGAATTGGGAATTATGACTATGACTGTCTTCCAGAGAGATGAAAATACTTCCAAAATCTGTGACCTGTTTCCTTTCGTCTTTTATTTATCTTCCATCTCTTCATGCTCCAGGTCCTCAATTGTTTTAATTTTGTTTTCCCAAGGACCAGGAAAGGCTTTCCTTGGAAACTGTTCGTGTACCGCATGTTTTGTCAGAACATCTTTTCATGATTTGTTAGAAGTCCGCACTGGCTTTCTGGTGACTCAGGGATTGCACTATAATACTGATAAGATAATATTTAATCATGTATTCTAAAGCAGGAGATTTAGGTCACAGGATTAGTTTGTTAGCAAGCTTCAATCAAGAACATATTAATTAGAATGCATACTGCATGCAGACAGATGTTTAAGTTTGAATTACTAGATAAAATTGAGCTTTTGTTGATGCAGTACATTGCAGAAAACTAGACTCACTTATTTTTTTTAAACAATGCCTGTGGATTTAGGTCATGAGTGGAATGTCAGCATGTAGCAATGAACTTGCAAAAACTCCTTTTTCCCTACGCTGTGTTCCCAGTATGTTCAACGGGTGTAAGTGCCCAGCGACTACGTGAGAGGGTTAATACTTCTATTTGAAGTTTTCTTGTTAGGGAAGAAAACAAACTTTTCAGGTGTACAATGGTAGGACACATAACACTTCACAAACGGTTTTGCTTTTGCAGGAATCGATAGTCGATACAATGAAGGTTGCAGGGAACTGGCAAACTATCTGCTTTTTGGCTTATATAATCAGAATAACAATGACTTTGAAAGAACTGGGTTTCCTGAAGAAGTTCTTGATGGTGAGTAACGTACTCAATATTTTACTTATTCTTCAGTCTTTCTGGAGGGAGAGTGAGCAGAAAAAGGGGCATACCTCAAAAAAAAAAAAAGTCATCAGTAAATCTCTAGTTGTGTATATACACCTGAAAAACGGTTCTTAAAAACACTGCTGAAGAACTCTGTTTTTAAACACGTCCCCACTCCATAAGTTCTTCCAAATGTTCTAAACCTAAAATACAGCCCATTATGAGAAGTCCTAGTTCAGTCATGGTATGTATGTGCATGTGTTATCAATTATTGTGTGATCGCACCTCTGGAGTTCTAAAATACTTGAGCTGTTTTTTACTATAACATATGAACTCACTCTTGTAATATTTGGAAGGCGGCCATTCGCCGTGATCATAGATTATTATTCCCTTATTTGCATGAAACTTTGAATATCTACCCCATAGGCTGTAGTGCTAGTTTTCAGTTGGAGCAACCTTCTAGTGTAATATTGGGCAAGAGCGACTATAGTTTACAGTTTTGTGAGTGCTCTGTAAGGACTCATCACTGACAGTCTTGGCTTTTTAAAGGACTGGCTGATGCAAGTTCTGTGCAAGACTTCAGAATAAACCCACAATTGTTTGGAAGAGAAGAAGTGTTACTGTACTTGGAACTGTATATGGCTGCCAACTGTTTCTTTTTCTTTTTTTAAAGAAGTGGGGAATGATTGTGTATTCAAATAGTTAAACAGTTTTCTTTTAATGAGGCACATTATAGGAAAAGTGTTTTCTGTTCAGTTTCTGTGAGGTTTTTTTTGTGCCCGTATAATTCTTCTGTATATATGGTCTTGGTCCTGAAATAATATTTGTTCTGCTTATTGCAGATATAATCATATTAATAAAACCTGACAGTGTCCATCTGTACTGTAACCCTGTGAATTATAATCATCTTTTGCCATATGTGGCATACTGGAGGAACTTGCATTTTCACTGTCTCACTGAAAATGAGGTAAGTGAAAATGAATGCAGATGAGAATTGCTGATGAACTTGCTAATGAACCGATATTCAAAATGGATTTTTTTTTAACATGCCTTCCAGAAGTCTTTTTTTCTTTGTCATACTCAGCAGGGGAATGATCTCTGTGTGTGTATATATATATAAAATTAAAAGTATTAATAATTTTGCTAATGTATGCAAGAAGAATATGTTTTAATACTTTGTATTTGTTGGAGCATGAAGACAAATTGCTTCCCTCTCCCACTAATTACTATTGTTTTGACATGAGTCAATAATCTTTTAATGAGGAAAAACATGTGGGTTGTGAGAAATGCAGAATCTGAATCAAGTACCACAGTCAGCACTGAGATTTCCAATGATAGCCTTATTTGCTACCAAAGCAGTGTTTTAATGCATAGTTTGCCAGTAGTTTTAGAATATTAAAAAAGATTGGCTTAGTGAGCCATTTAAAATCAATAAACTTAATTTTCAATTTCAGTCAATTTTAACTTTTCCTTTCAAGAGCTATTAACCTCACTGTCACTGGACCGTGTGAGTGATGTGAGTTTTATCTTGCGCTTGAAAGTCAAGGTATTCTTAGAAAAGCTATGTTTATCACAGTGAAGTACTGTTAGAGGAGCAAAAAATGAAAATACCGTTTGTTTAGGTGTAGAATAAGAACCTTTTTATTCCAGTTGAGACTGGAAATGCTTCTTCCTAAATGCTATCATGGGAAGCTTCCCTGTCTGTTTAGTTCTGTGTAGTTCGTTTTTTAAATTAGAATTATACTGAAATGTGAAGGGAGTGGGTTAGGAATGGGTTCAATGGGTGAAGCTGGTGGAAGAATGAGTGGGGAGGTCAGGGAGAGAAACCTTTTGTTCCCTTGAGCTTCCAACTTGAAAGCGATGGGGCTTATGATAGATTGGTTGGTCTTTATGTGACTGTTTGATAGTTTAGATCACAGAATTATGAAATAATTCAGGTTAGAAGGGACCTGTAGAGATCATCTTGTCCAACCTTCTGCTTAAGGCAGGGTTAGCGATGAGATCAATCAGGTTACTGGAGTTTTTTTTTGTAGGTGGATGTTGAAAGCGTCTAAGGATGATGACTGCAGAACTTCTCTTGGCTATCTGCTCCATTACCTGTCTGTACTAATAGTGAAAAAGTGTTTCCTTTTATCCAATATGAACCTCTCTTGTTTTAAATCACGCTCTTTGTCATGTGTCCTGCATCTGCAGACCACAGCAAAGAACCTGAATTCACCATCTCATTAACATTTTTGTGGGTGTTGGAAGGCAGCTATGAGGTCCCAGCCATTGCCTCCTCTAGGCTGAACAAGCCCGGACCTCTCCTTGTAGCGCCAACCTACTGATCGTCATGGTGACCCTCCACTGAACTTCTTCCAATTTGTCAATGTCTGTCTTGTACGTGAGTCCCAAAACTGGATGCAGTGTTATAGATACAGTCCCTCGGGTGCTGCGTAGAGGGGGATAATTACTTCTTGTTAAGATGTAAACAGCTAACCTACAAGTTAAAGCATGCCATAGTAAAATCTAAAGCCTGGCTTCATAAGTTTTTTTGCGTTGCCAAAATCCCTACTGAAAGGGCAAACCTTGAACCATACCCGATGCTGGTAAAACACATACATTTTGGAATCAAGGATGGAGTAGTTCTTAACACTATTGCTAGCACAAATGCAATCTCAGCTATGGAATTTTAAGCTGCATCTGCTTAGGGGCTTTTAGATGATTTATTGTGGTAAGTAGTAACCTTAATCACGCAGTACTGGCTTGAAATAATGGTGTAACTAGAAAGGTAAACCATATGCTTTGCTATTTGTGGAAATAAATGCAAAAGTTTGATTTCTGAAGCTGAAAATACAAATTTTATTTCATTGCTGTTTCATGTGAATGAGCTGAGCGAGGCACTTCCAGTTACAGTTCTGATGTATAAGAATTGCCAGTTTGCTAGATTACTTCTGAAAGAAACAAAAAAATGTTGCTGTGTCAGGCTTTAAATGCATCCTGTTTACAGGAGCATTGCCTGTAGTGGCTTTTAAGCGTTTTTGGATTTCAGTGGTAGAAATAACTGTTGGTTGCTTTTATAAAAACGAGACCGAAAAAGCTCAAGAGTTTTAGAAATAAAGCAAGCAATGCCGTACCTGGCTCTGTGCAGCTCTTGATGAATCTGGCAAAACCTATAGCCTCTCCTTCTTTTCTTCCTTTCTACTTGCCTTTAACTAGACCATAGGAATTTCAGTGAATATCCTAGTTATTGGAATATTATTAAAGATTGCTTATTTTCAAAATGGCCAAATAAGGTAAAGTACTGAAATTTGATGCATACCGTATAAGCTTTCTGGGTATCGTGACCGCACCGTTTATGGAATGGGCTGTATTTACACCTGCAATAGCAAATAATGAGCAAGCCTTTAGCACCTTGCCAAAAACCAAGTTCTTATTCTAATGGCGTTTTAAGTCGTGAGAAACTGGCAGTTGTTTGGGGCTTGGCTTTGAACTGAAACTTTGATCTGGCTTCCTGGGATAGAAGAAGGAATGCATCATGGAGGAACTTGGGCTGCATCTTAAATTCAGGCTTGTCTTAAAAGAACTTGTTCTTAAAATAAATTTGTTGGGTGTGCCCTGAAGCTCGCAAAAGTTATATACAAAAAGTTCATAATCATGTAATTTACCTTGATATTAAGTTCAGAGCACTGTACATTTAAAAAATAAAAAACAGACAAAACACCATTACTTTCTGATCTTGCTCCAGGAAAGCAAGTGACTCTCGAAGTACCCAGCGGGGCTAGGCCTGTTGATTTCAGACTTGGTGCCTTTTCAGATAAAAATCAGAGAGCATTTTTTGGTTTTTGTTCTGTTATAAAAATGATTTTTGTGTGATTTGTCTCTTCAGTCAAGTTTTTACGCTGTTCTGAGCCATAAGTATGATATTTATCCTTCACTCCTGCTCTTCCGTCTGCTGAAGTCGTCAGACAACCACAGTCTGCTACGAGTGTGAAACAGCAAGATAGTGTTGCATGGTCGTGTCTCCTCTTCTTTCCTCCTCCTTTTCCTACATATATCTCTCCCTCGGACAGCAGTTGGTTCTCATTGCTTGTTCTGTGACCTCAGGCATATCTTGTCAGTTGACTTTCCCAGTTTAGTGTTGTTAAGCTGGTAATATTTTACTTTTTTGCCTCAGTGGCGAGATTGTTTGTGGCATATCAGTTGGTATTCTCAAAATATCTTTTCTTGTTTATAAATTATCCAGAATCTAGTAAATGATGTTGAAAGACTTCACTGAAAGCTGAAAATAAAATGTATAATTACGCCTTTATATAACCTTATTAAAACCTTGCTCTGAAGTTTGTTTTTTTAAAGAACAATTTCCATTGACTTGAATTCATCACTGCTATGGTGGAGTTTCCAAAATATAGAGACTAAAGAGATTCTTTAGCTTCTGGAAACTGTAGGTAATATTTTAGTGGATTCCATGACATTTGCTATGGAATTAGAACAGTAGAATACATACCCTCTTTAGTGCAAAACTAACAATCAAATTAGGCATACCTAATCATATTTTATTTTAAATGACTTCTTTCAGTATGAAGATGAAGAAGCTGCAGAGGAATTCAAAATTTCCAGCTTTGTAGACATGGTTCGAGATTGCAGTCGCATTGGTATTCCCTACAGCTGCCAAGGTAGGTTAACTTGTTTTATGCTTACAGTGTAAGTGTTCTGCAGCATGCAAGTCATGCAGTTCAGGGAATGAAGATTTCCTTGCCTTTGGTAAGAAATAAGGATTAATATGTCAATAGTTTCCTTTCAGCCTCTTTTTACATGAGTTGGATTTCTTTCTGAAAAATGTAAGCCCTTAGACTTCATCTGAAGAGTGGATGCTAACAGTGTGAGGCAAAGAAGTAATTTGCATTCAGAGAAGTGTGTTCTGCTGCTACAGAAGTTCTCTGTTCAGATGGGAGCTCCAGCTAAATACTTCTTTATGTAAGGAGAGAATAAACATTTCGTTATGCAAGTTCCCTTTTTTAGCACTGAAAAAACTGGACTGCATGACTTCCTGTTATGATTTGTAGCCAGCCTTGCAGCCTGAACAGTGGAATCTTAAATTGTTCAGTAAAGTGTGCTTTGCAGTATCCCCGGCAGGGAATAATGCATAAGCAATGCAGCGCGTGTACTTCGCTGTGCAGCAGGAGCATGTGGGATTTTTGATCCATAGTACAGTAGGTGAGAGGCAAAGAAAAAAAAAAAAGAAAATAAAGTGGTTTTCTATTTTTGCATCATGTTAGCTCAAACAAAACTGAATTAGCTTGTTTTTTTTTTTTTTTCCTTTTTTATTCCTAATTCCTTATTGCTCCTCTTGAGGAAAGGATGATATGCTCTGACTGCCTGAAAAATCATTAACGGATCAGGGCATGGGGCAAGGATGGTGGTTCTTTGTTAGGAATTATCTAAAGAAGGTGTGTAGCTAAAGGATGATAATCACACTTGACTTCAGATGGCTTACAACTTGACCAGGGAGTACCAGGCTGAATAGTTTTCCTCTCCCCTGACTTAAAATTCTGATTAACATGGGGATGATGTTGACAGTATTTTACTTAAGGCCAAACATTTGAAGAAATTGGAGTAAGCAAAACTTCCTGTTTATTATCTTGAATCTTAATGGGCCCAGTTTTGTTAATGGTCTTGGAATGAAATTTGCAAGGAGACTTAATGTACTTTACTAGACTGATAGCTGGAAAAAAGGGACAAAATTTGGAGCCCTGAGAAAGGAGTTTCTAAAAGCTACTGTCTTCACAAAATCTGTAACTGAAAAATGTATTTTAAGTTGTATGAAGACAGAATAATTGAGATCTTTTATTATAATCTCAGAACAACTCTTAAGATCTTGCAGAAAGTTAAACTGCCAGTACTTGTGAGAGAATGTTTCTGTGAAATATTTCTTTTGCAGGTCATCTGCAGATATTTGATATGTTCATTGTTGAAAAGTGGCCAATAGTGCAGGCTTTTGCGCTGGAAGGAATTGGGGGTGATGGCTTCTTTACAATGAAATATGAAGTGAGTAGTTATGTTTTTCGTTTTCTTTCATTTCCATTCTGAAGCAGAAATGAAATCATGGAATTATTTCAGTTGGAAAGTACCTTCTGAGATCATCTAGTCCTGACTCACCACTCAAGTGAGCCTCTAAGTTGGATGAAGTTTTTCAGGATCTTACAAAGCTGAGTTTTGAATGTGCAAGGATGGAGACACCACAGTCTTGCTGAGAGACTGTTATGAGCTACACAGCACTCTGTCCTGGATAAACCATGATTGATTGGTCATCCTGTCAGCCTCCCTGTTGTGATTTAGAACTTTTTTCCTAACCTAAAGCCTCCTCTACCACTAACAGAAAACACTTTTTTAAACTCTTCCAGATGGGTATAGATCTTCAACAGCAGTGCAAGAGAAGCTGACTAGTGACAAATGCTTTGAGATGAACTGAGAAAATAAGAAGTGACTGTATTTCTTGGGTCATTGATTTTGACACAAGAGATGCATGTACTTTTCTCATTAACATTATATATTCTTGGGTCATCATAATCTGCTGAATAGGGCAACAGTAAAGATTTTGGATGATGCTCCTAGTTCTAATAATGATTTGCTGTTCCACTTTGAGCAACTTGTGTCATTTGATTTGCCTGTTTATTAATTATACTCTAACAACATCCTCAGAGGACAGCTTTGTGTTTATGTACTTGTTTGAAACTTCTTTTATTTAATTTTCTTGGACCTCTGCCACAGAAATGCAGATGTCTTATTTTTCTTGTCACTCCTCCATTTTTACAGCCAGAATGTTCTTTGTCCAACTTGTGACAACTGGAAAAACCTCAAGGAATTAATAGTACCATTATTAAAGTCTCATCTCATGTAGTAGTGTACATGCTTGCTCAAAAAATCTATTATGTGAGTTCAAGTGTGCCTTGCTCTGTCTATGCACTGTATTCTTTCCACTGATACCTTTCTTCATGCTTTGTTTTTTTCCTTCATTCCATCACTAGTACTAATCATCTTGTGTGAACCTGTCAAAACCGTTAAATACAAAGTGCAAAATGAGCATCCTTGTGGAGGTCTGCCTAAGTATCGATAGCCCTTCTTGGTGTCTGAAATTAGTCAATGAAAATTTCACTGTGAATTCAGGAGTTTTGGGTCTTTACCCTTGCCAATTCATTTTATGAATCTGTAGAGGCTTTGAGAAAATGTGTAGACATTGTGGTAATGACTTTGTAAAGACAGAGCCTCTGCTATTTCATTGTGGGAGTAGATGCTGTCTTTACAGCACTCTTGCAGACTTAAAAAGGAGCAATGAAAATTCTTAGTATCTGTTTTTAAGAGTAAGTGTGTTAGCTCTGGTGGTTCAGCCAGTTCCAGCTTGAGTTCTTACTTTCCTTCTCCTTAAAGTCATAAGGGGATTTCAAGTGGGAAGTGGCATTCTTAACTTTTTACGTAACTGTTTATGCGTGGTTATCTGACAGGCAGCTACTACATGTCACAGATGAGGAGGAAAAACCAATCTACGGGAGGAAGAACATTTGGGATCGCTGTAAATGATCTATAAATGAATACTTCTGCCATTATTAAAAGGGAGTGTTCCCAGGGCACTTTTAGCTCCTCAGACTGACTCTCCCTCTGCTGTGCTTTCTGTGCTGTTGGATTTGAAGATAATCTAATGATGATAACTTACTAATTTTTTTTCAGTGTTTTAAGGGCAGTTGCTCTCTTAGTACAGAAGTCAGAGTTGCTCAAGATGCTGTAATCCAGAGAATTTTCTGTACCGATAGGTGAATGGAAGTGATGCCTGGGAAATCATTATTGCCATATCTAGTAACAGGAGTAACTAGCATAACTGTAAAGCAGTGGTTTAAGAAAATTCCAGTCAGTGTTGCATTTTTAATTAAGCGGGTGGTGGGGAACCCTGTAAATACAGAAATTACTTGGATACAAATGTCCCTTAAGAATATATTTTTGAATAGTGTTCTCATATGCATCATCTTACTACTTGGAAGAAGATATTGCTAATTGTTAAGTTAAACTAACTAAACCTAAACTTACATTACGCTTACAGCAAGAATTGGCTGCTGCATAGGATGAGTAACCTTTAAATCTGCTTCTTGTCTGTCTTGTCTCAGAAAACTGATCTTTCCCTTTTGTTTGCACCAGCTGATACTGTTCCTTGCTATTAACTCAAATTGAAAAACTTCATGAAACTATTTGTTTGAAAGATGCAAGCAAAACTTTGAATGTACTTCAAACCCTCACTTGAGGAGATAGGTCTCTGAGGCATGCAGAACACTTGCATCTGGTCAATTCCTTTGTAACCAGTAGGGTAAAAATATTTCTGAATTCAGAGTTAAGGAGGACTGTTAGACTGTGCGCTGCAGACCTGTTTCAGTGTGGCTTAAACCTGAATCTATGGCATTCTTCATGGTGTTTTTCACAGTAGTGTGTTTAAAATCTTTTTCAGTTAATGGATGTCAGTGTTGACTTGTGGAAGACGTACAGCAAAATGGATCCTGTTTCCTTGCAGGACTTGCTCTTTGAGGTAATGAATGTGAAAAATTCTGAAGTCATTACTAGTCTGTTAGTGTAACTGTAGTGCAAAATTGTTGTGATTTTGTTTAGTTTTAGTAGTGCTTACAGACTTAATCTACTTGCTCTGCAAACTGTTGTTTGCAGAGTCTCTTTCCTTTCCTCAGATCTACCACAAAGTCCATAAAAAATTAAAATAACTTGTCTTGGATTGCTTGAATTTCTTTCATTTGCCTAAAATTCTCCTAAAAGTGTTTCTAAACGGTGTGACTATTCTTCAGTTCACAGGACTGTGTACAAAATAAAGAAAATTGATATGTTTTTGTGTGTTAATCCTCCTTTTGCAGCAAGGGGGTGGCGGTGGGGGGAGTGGGAAATCCCTTTTAACATCCAGCCATTCTTCCAGGAAAAAACACTTTCAAGATTGCTTTGTAAGTCCTTTAAGTGGGTAACAGTGACACACAGTGGCTGCCCTGATGCTTTGTGAAATACAAACATACAGTGTAAAGTAATTCCTCGTTTTAATTTGGTGGTCTGCTCTCCATGCTAGGGAAGAAAATAATGTGCGAGTATTAGTTCGTATTATTTTGTTGTTAATTTTTTATCGGTTTCTAGCTTGGCAGCAAAGTAGGCTTTTGATATGTAGCAAGTACAGCAGTAATTATCCTTTATTAATAAAATATTGGTAATTCACACCAATTTCGTTGCTTAATCAACTGCTGTAATGAAAATTAAAATGTCATGCAGTTTATAAGGCTGTCAGTCTAAATAGTCACTCTCTGATACTTCACTTCCCCCTTCCTGTGGAAGTGAGATAAATGTTTGGGACTTTTCTTGTACCTGGTAAGTCTACCCTGAAACACAGGTATTTATCCTATTTTGAAGTTTTAAACCTGAAAGTTGTTGTAACATTGAATTCAAATATTCTGGAAAAAAAAAATAATGAGGAATTCATGCAACTCTGGTTTCATGGAAATTGGTGATTTTAAAAATGATAAATTTTCTCAGTGAGAATGAAGATATGTGATCTTAAAGAGTATTTGAAGCTGGTATATGTTTATACTTTTTTTTTAACACAGTTTTGATTTCAAAAAGTTCTGATTTGAACTCTACTTGGGATTTAAGAGTGTTCTCTACGATATTAGCATGTTCCAAAAAAACTGACAAAAGCACGTTTTAGTTCTTAACTTCTATGAAAAGCTTATTTGAGACAGAAATATTCTCCAATGGTATTTTTTCCTTCTAAATGTAAGCTTTCATTTTAAACCTGATACAGGCTTTATTAGTATTTTTGGAATATTTCATCAACATTCACTCTCTAAATTTCAGTCATTGCTGCATTAATGAAGTGGCATGTATTATACCACTGCTAAAATCATAGTTCTGGTTTTGTCTGTTATATGTATCTGAAAAACTACCTTTCTAAAATCGGGATATCTTTCATCTTCCTACTTTGTATGTGCCAAGTAACTGAAAGTAATCTGGAGAGCATTTTAAAATTGCCTGGTTCTGTAAGGTTCCTTCTTCATCAGCATGACGTAGTTTTCTTTTTATTGATTCTTTGATTTTTTTTTTAAAATTAATTTGAATGCAACACTTGTGGTCATCTTCCTTTTTTATTCTATGTTACTGAGGTGTTGCTGGTATTTCTTTTTCTACTTACCAATTTTTTTTACAAATACCAATAAAGAACTGTCTGCCACTTGCATATCATGAGCTTCCCAAATTCCCCACCTTGTTCCTCATTTTCTGTGCATAAGCTTACTTAACGTTGGATACAAATTACTGCAGAACCATATACAGATTTAGAAATTGAAAATGACATCTGTCCAAGTGTTCACATTGGAAGCCTTATGGGAAACAGGAGTTCTGAGTTAAGAGTGATCTTAAAACACTGTACTTCCATAGGTTAAAAGCAGATAGTGCAGGGCTCTGGTCCTTTTCCCTCTCCTGCCTCTTCTCTCTCAAAAAACCAACCCAAACAAACAAAAAACACACACCGAAAAAAGACCGTAAAATCCAGCAAAAAGTCCTTATCTTTTAAAAGATGTTTATTTTCTTATATTTATTGTTTCACTGGGCAGGCCGTATTCTATATTTTATAGTGAAATGTAATCTGTGGTATTCCAAAGTAATTTGAGTTCATTCAGTGCAATCTGTGACTTCCTTTCTCTTATACAACACTTGCCTTACTAAGTAATGTTGAATATTTTTCTTCTAGGATTTAATGATTTTTGAGCACCAGTGGACCAACTTTTTTGCTAATTTTGATACTGAAATTCCTTTCATTCTGGAGCTATCGGAATCTCAGGCGGGGGAGGTATGCCTGCTTCAGTAATCCTTTGAAATGCTAGTGTCATCCATGCAGAGGTAATAAGTATGCAGCCTTCTTTCTATGATTGGGCTTTTTTGGTTTTCTTTCTTTTTCTCCCTACCCGATCTTACCTTTTCATGTTTGAGGAGTAGAAACTTTCTTTTTTCCTTTAATTTTACCACCTACCTTACCTTTCCATGGTATGATGGATTAGGACTGCTTGGTGTAAATCAGTTGAGTGTTTGTTCACTGATAATTGAACTTAGTTGATTTATGTCAGCACAACAGATCCATATTTGTAGGTAGATTGACTTTCATTTTGATGGAAGCTCAGATATGTGAACTTCCTAACAAGCTGAGGTTGCACGTGTCAAATCTCAAACATAAATGATGGTAACGTACAGCACGGGTGAAAATAGCATGGTAGTTTTCGGTTGCAGCTGTTGCTTTTTAAGCATATATGAGACTTAATTGTATTTGGGTTTGTTTATGGATGTTGAAGGTAGTTTTTGAGGGTTCAGGAGTTTTCTCTGAGAAGGATAATTCAGGTTTTTTCTTAATGATATTGGGGATATATCACACTTTCTATCCATTTACTTGTTAATCAGGGGTGTTTTTTTAATTGTTCACAGCCTTTCAGAAGTTATTTCAGTCATGGAATGATCTCGAGCCATATAACAGATAACAGGTATTACTCATTATCCCTGTGAAACTGTGGTGTCACTAGTACCTCAATATATTATTTCCGTATCTCTGATGCCATAATGCTTATAATCTCAGTATATCACATTACATCTTTGTGCATTTGAAAAAAAAAAAAAAAAATGCAAAGGCACTTCTGGGCAGGATAAGCTGAACTTTCATGGGATTTAATGCTGTAGTTACTGACAATTGCGTATGTAGTATGTTTGAAACTCATCTACCTTGTGCATTCTAGTATCATCAATTTCTTCCTGGTCCGATATTTAAATGAACTTACTACACAGGACAGCTGTGTTTGAAAGTGTTGGTCCTACTTATGTGATACTCAAAGCTAATTTAAATATAAAGATTGAAGAAATCAGTATACTTTTTTGAGTCACAACATGCACAAGACCAATGCTTAAGGCAGGGAAGTTAAAAATCTTAGCCAATATAAGCTGGGCAATACAGGTCAGCGTTATTTTATTTCAGCGTAGAATTTTAACTTGAGAGAGGAAAGTTGGTTGTCATATGTTGCGAAACCAAGTGTTCCGCTGTTTTGAGCTAAATAAAGGTTGCTTAGCTACTTTAATGTCTCTGCAGATTCTTCTTTCTTTGCAATTAAACAATAGAGTTCAGTGTCCTTTATTGTTTCAGCATTCTATGTTGTTTGCATTTAAATAACAAAAAGAAAAACCTTGACCTCTCCAGTTGAGTCTTGGGCCCAAAGCCAGATACAACCAAAATAGTTTTGTTTAATGCCAATCTAATTATTTCAGGGTTTTTCAAGATGCTAAGTTTTAAACTGGTTAGCTTTTCAAGGCAGTTTAAAGAAGAGGAAAACCTAATAGCATTTGAGAAACAGCCTTGAGATGTTCTTGTATATGAAAGAAATTATGATCTTGTTATTTCAGGTAGTTTTTTTCTTTAGAGCTTGATCTTTTCAATGAGAAGCCTTCTGTAGCTGTAGTAATTTTTTTTTTTTGTCCTGCTCTTTTAGTGCGAAATTCAATAGTTCGTCCATCAGACTTGAAAGCTTTGATTTCATTTGTTGTTTGTAAGTTTTCTTCAAGTATTTTGGTGGTGATACCCTCTTTTCTCCTTAGCCCTAGCCGGCAGCCCTTTGTTCTGTTTGGTAGCCACTCAACTAAGGAAAACTTGAACTCTGGTAACTTTAATTTTCCATCAGAAGGACATCTTGTTCGAAACACTGGCCTTGGTGGAAGCACTGCTAAGCATATGGTAAGGCTTTTAAGTAGTTAGCTGATGTTTTGAAGCAGTGTATATTTTCTCTTTCTTTGTGTATTTTTTGTGCCCTTAAAATGCTTACCTTCCATGAGTTAAATACCCGATTCTTCTTAACGTATATAACCATATGTTACCTTAACAAACAGTCAGTTTGAGGAACAAATTTCCTTTTTCTTTCTCTTTCCAAGTCAAACTATACTGGATGTTTAATCAGGGACTGCTGAATGAGTTAAAATGTTTTTTCCCCTATAAAAAGACAACTTTTTAAACACCTGTGGTGCTGTAAATGTGTGGGGTGGGGGAGAGGGAAATTCTGTTTGTGAGGACATTTGTCCTAGCCATAAAGTGAAAATCTTCCTGACTGTAGCATATGATGTACTTAACTCTGACACACAGATTTTTATTTTAATCACAATTGTTTAGCCATTTCTTAAAAAGAAATGGAAGGACACTTTTTTTGATAATGACTTTGTGAATAGCCACAGGATACTTATGTATATCCAAATTTCAGTGTATGCTTCAACAGCTGAACAGTTCGTGAAACTCTGAAAATCTTTCTGGTGTTCATAGAATGTTAAGATCAAGTTGTGAGATTAACTTGTTTCCGTTTTCAAGTAAAAACTTAGTTTTAAAACATATGATGAGGTCGATGGCTTGTTGCACCGCCGTGCAGAGGACGTAACTGGGGAAGCGACCCCAGGGAATTCAGATCCTCTGGCTGGCTGGGCTGGGTGCATCAAGAAGGTAACTCGCAGCGAAGGAGGAGAGGTAGCGTGCAGATTGCGTTGTGGAGTTCTCCATGCGAGCCGATTCCCGTGGGCTCTGGGAGTGTTCGTCAGTTGTGCGAGTCCAAAGTCTGTGCTGCTGAGGAGATGGATGTGGTTGAGTACAGGTCATCGTGGAGTGAACGTATGATTGAGGGAATGAGTTTATGATCTTGTCATGACAACATTTTGTGCATAGTTGCCTTAGGGATGGATGGATGGATGTGGATATTCTGGACACATGCGTGTGTCAAAAGCCTGAGAAAGGATTGCTTCAGCATCTTGGTGAAATCTCAGCTTCCATTTGCTGCTCTGTCTAACCCTATTTCTGTAAAAACACTTCCAATTTTGTTTTTTGTGCCCTTGTTAACATTCCCATTAAGACCATTTGATATCTTTCAAAATGCAAGTACAATTTTATTCTGATGTACTTGCTCCATCTGTTGTCTTCAGATTCTGACGTTGTTCTTAAAAAGGTGGTTTATTTACAGGTACAGGTGGTACTGTTTTAATAGGGTGTCATGAAAATAGTAAATAAGACCAAGTGCAAGCATAGTTATGGGAACCTGACACACTTTCCTCTTCATGAAAAGAGCAGTTGACATAGGAAATTGAAAACACATGCTTAACGCTTACGGAATTCAGAGCTCATCTCCTTTCCAAAGTCTTTCAACCATTCAGGTCAAGTCAAAAGTGAAATATGCCTTTGAAAACGTAAGTTACTTTTTTAAAAATCCAGTTAAGTCTGTGTTGTACGCTTCCTGTAGTATGTCAGTTGTTAGACTTAAGGGGAACTTAGCTTACTGTTAATTATTGCGCTAATTTTTCTTACTAAGCTCTTTTGATGTCTCATTAATACTGACAACTAGGTAGTGCAGTGTGTATCTCCAAAGGGACCTCTGGCTTGTTCAAGGACCTACTTTTTTGGAACCACTCACATTCCTTTCCTGGGTAAGTATATTAAAAATACCAAGCGGTAATTTAAGGCAGTTATTCTCTCTGATTATTTAAAATTTGTAGCAATTAAAAGATGGCTTTGATTCCTTTATGAGTGTTAGGCCATGGAGGGGTACATACTGTGCAGTTCTGTAGCCACTGCATGAAATCATAGCAAAACATTGTTCCATTGCACTCCCTACTTTCATGTGCAAAAATCTGTCAGATCTCAGTGTGCAGACCTTTTGCAAGTACTAGGTAAACATTTAAGTCCATATTCCATTTAAGTTGATAGAAAAACAGTCCCCAGAAATATATTAATTCAAAGTGGTAGTTGTCAAATAAGTCTGCTTTTTTTTTTTTTTTTAAAAAATGGATAGAGAAAATTCTTTGCCTTTTACCTTTTATCCTCTGGTTTGGGTCCAATATAGTGTGTTGTTATAATAGCTGTCTTTCCTAATAAAGACGAGCTATGTGAAACTTCTAGAAATGATTTTCTTATCCATTTTAGGTGGCTGCATGAATCCATGTTTTTTCCTGGGCATCCAGGAATGGCCACTTTGGGAGACAGGGTACAGCGTGAGGGGGGTCTTTGCTCTGACCCAGTGCAGCTGTTTAGGGGATGAAGGTCTTAGTCTTGGCCATACTGTGTACTGGCTGTACTGGTACAAGTTAACCTGTCCTTTGGTCTTTTTTTAAATCTGCAAGCAAACTGCAGTTACATAAAATACTGGGTAAATGCCATGTAAGATATGCAGGAGAGATGTTATGCCCAAGAAGTTCTGTGTAAACACTTCTGAAAGTGCTTAAAACAAACTTTGTTTTTAATACAGGAAATGACAATGAGATGCACAAGCAAGCTGAACAAGTGTAAGCTGCCAACTTTTTATTATTCCTTAACTCTTCCCTCTTTCTACCTTGTGGCAGTAGGTCAAAACTGCTTTTAGTCAGCAGTAGCTGTTGGCATTTGCAGAGCTGCATTTTTATTTAGAATAACGTGAACATGAGAGGGTTTCAAAGGCAAATTGCTCAATGAAGGTTTCAGTGAGCAAACTAGGAATTGTTAGTGTGACATCCCTTCTGCTATACAGCAAAGTATGAAAGGAAATATTAGTAAATTTGGCTTAAATTTTAATAAGACTTTTTTATCTTAACACTTTTTTGAATTGCTTTAAAATGGATTTCACATACACTGAGGGGGAAAGTATCTATAACTGAATGGGAGCATCTTCCACAGGTAGAAATAAAAGTAATGTCTGACTACTGTCATTAAGCTAAACCATGTGTAAGATTTATAATGGTTAGTGAAAATGCCAGCAGGGAACACTCAAACTTGCAAAGAAATTTCACTGTGTTAAAGGATAGCTAAAAGTTAAATTCTGATTTTTTTTGTTAGTAAACTACAAAGCTCCCACACATTTTGACCTTCACAAAATAAGACTTTGTTTATCCATGTTGATGTCCACTTCTCTGCATGTTGTAGACACCTGTCAAGTTTTAAGAACGTGGTAGATAATCTGCTTTGGTACTGCTCTCAATCTTAATAAACCAGTCCTTCCCTTTTGTCCTCATTGCTAGTTAGGATAATTTTAGGAGCCTGTTCTTGCTTCTACAGTGGAGCAGTTTGCAAACCTGCATGACATGTTAGGAAGGTATTAAAGGTGTGCCAGAGGGAGACAGTAGCGTGGTGACCTTTCATGCTAAGTGCTGTTGACGTGATAATTGTGATATGGTTCTCAAAATCGTAAAAGTGAAGTTACTAGACTGAGCAGCAGATTTTCCGTTTTTTGTAGTAAAGTTAACTTCAAGAGGTAATTTTACTTATATATGTTCTGCTCAAACATAGAGTATTTCTTGTCCTACTTCTAAAAGGCTTTGTACTAAGTACAGTTCTAACCGAGATGGCTAGAGAATTTCTAAGCAAAGCAGGGGTCAGTTGACGGAGGCAGTATTTTTTTATGAGAATATATTTTTCTTGAAAGTGCCTCTGTATTGGATCAAATAATCTAGTTTCAACAACGGCAGCAAAATTAGCTTTTCTGGCAAACCTGACCTCATGATTTTGGAATTAGTTTGCAGTTGAGTTCTGTTACTGGTTCTTATATCTGCCAATGTTTTCCAGTGAAATAAAAAGTGGGAAAAATATTTTAAAAGCACTATTCAGTCCAAATTTGACTGTATTTAGGAAGCAGAACTGCAGCCTAGAGTGCAGGCTGACTGGAGTGCATAAACTGACTGTGTAACTTTTAAGTATCCCTGGGGTAAACTTTATATTTTGATTTTCTTTAAGAAAATACCCTTTTCTGTTTTGCATTGTTAGTGTTAAAATTTTAAAATGGGAAGAGTAGTAAGGTCGCTATAGCATATTAATGTAAAGCACAGCCCACTGTGAGGTGTTTTTCTTGCAAACGTGTATGTGACTTTGAGCGAAAATAGGAATGGTTACAGAGGAAGAATTATATGCGTTTCTGGTAGTGAGTGTTTACTGAAAACATAAGTTAAATGCATGTGTTAGTACATGACATTACATAGAAGAAACCTCAAGAAGTAGTAAGAAGTTTCAGTTTTAAAATCTCTTACTGCCATTGGGGATGAAGTTCAAATATCAGCACTGGCGCATTTTGAGGTTTAGCCATGTTGGGCCATATTTGGGAGCTACAGTTGCTTTTGTCCATCCTTTAGGAATGCTTTGCATATAGCTTAAATGCTGTATCCCTCTCTTTCTTCCCACCTCTTCTCTCCCTCAACATCTAGCAGTTGCAGAGGAGTTAAAGGTTGGGGAAATAGGGCTGTTTTGTCGATCTACTTTATCTTTTTGTTCTGATTTAGCTGGAAAACAGAGACTGATGTTTCTTAGTTGGGCACAGGTGGGTTTTTTTAATAGTTCTGGAGCTATAAATGTCAGTAGCTGTAAGTTGCTTCTGGCTTCACCTAACCTTTGTTTATTTCTGTACAATTTTTTTCAATTCCCTTTTAAGAAAAGAACCAGACTAAGCTGGGATGTAGATGTGCTCAAAAGATTGTGGTGACTGGTTTGTTTTGGTATCTTTTTTGCTTGACATGTTCCAGAACAAATCCATCTCTGAAATCTGTTCACTCTGTTTTCCAGTTTTCTTTTGTGGAACAAAAATACCATTGTGTTCTTGTTGGAATATTTAGGATGTGATCTTTAACACAACTGCAGCAAAAGTCAACAACAAAACATCTTTTTTTCCCTTGACTGAGAGCAGAGATACATTTGTGCCAAGAGGTTTTTTTCCCCAAGATATTCTATAATTTGAGCAATTTACTTGCTCTAATTTATTTTTGTAAATTGAAAGGTTTAGTATAAAGCTATCCCTACGCTTACTTGATCAAGGACCCATCCCATATAAGGGAGTTGTGTTATGAGGGGAAAAAACTCCTTTAAACAGAGGAGAAGGAAAAATCTATCTGTCTAGTAAATGATGTGTTTGTATTTCTCTTCAGTACGCTGTTGTCGCAAATATATACTGCTGTTGTAGAGGCTGTGCTTGCTGGCATTGAGTGCTATGCTAAAACTTCCACTGAATCCAAGGTAAATGAAGCACCCATTCTGTACGCTGTAATTGTTGATTTGGATTGCTTGCAATATAAGATTACATGCAAACCAAAAAAAAAAAAAGTTTCGGTCAACTGCATAACATTAATGAAGTTAATACCATGGCCTCCAACCAGTCTCTCTGAATTCTGTTTAAAAAAAGAGAAATTTGAGAGTATATCTAATCTTACCCATCCACAATTGTTTTTTCCAGCTTTCACAAATTTTCCTAACCTTATAGTAAGGAAAATTAGATATGTGAAAGAACAAATTTTAGCTTGGTGCATCAGTGTGTTATTGTTTAGTGTATGGTCTCTTGTTTATCTTATGGGTGCTCCTGTAGTTGCTGGGATTTGGAAGTATGGGAAAAGATGCTCTATTCTAAACTTCCTTTTTTCAGGCAAAGGAGGTCGCAGAGCAGATGCTCCTGTCTGTGTTGGATACCCTTCATTTAACACAACTTAAAACTGCATTACGGTATGTATTTTCAAATACTTACTGATGTATTGTGTGAGTGTATTAGCTGCTTTTGGGGAAAAAATATATCAAATGTTAATTTTAAACAGAACTTGCAGGACTGCCAAATTCCAAGACTTCAGAACACATTCGGAGTTTTAAAATCATTATAATAATTCCATTTTTCTTCTTCTGCTTTTTTAACCACTTCAGCAGTTATTTTGTTTTAAATCTATTATTGTTTATTTTTTACATGTAGAAGAGATATAAAACATGTTTTTCACCAGTACAATTTCTGTTCTACAGCTCCAAAATCAATTTTCAAATTCAGGCTGTGAATAATCATGGAAGGTTTGTACCACTGTCTTACTCTTCTTGTTATTAATTAGTGTTTTTCATACAGTAATAAGGGTTTTTTTTTCTTGTCTTAGAACTTCTGAGAAGACATTGCATTTGATTATTTCATACAAGATGTACTAAATGCTTTTGTGTATGAGTCAGTTTAATGATTTCATATCTGTAATTCTGTGGAATCTTAAAAGCTTTTAAAAAAAATCTAAAACAACTGAGCAGACCAATTTTATTAACTGTTAATGAATAGAAGCAGCATGAGCCTATTAAGAGTTTCCTTCTAAAACCGTGCTTTTAACTTGGTTCATATCACAAGCTTGTACTTTTTTAATCCCCACGCTAATTGACTGAAATTACCTACACAAATAAGAGTTTATTGTAAAATTAAATAGCTTTTTTGGCTGCTATGAAGTCACTCAAAGTGATCCAACCTCTAAATATTTAATTATCATTATTGTTCTAGAATTACTCCATTAGATGATGAGGATAGCCTGAGTTTGATTAAAACGGTAAGTAAGCTGTTCAGTATTCTTTTTATTAGAAAATAGAACTCGAATGGCTTTTTTATGAGACTTGCTGAGATTTTTATCTATGTGAATACAAATGTAAGGGGAGAGATGAGGTAGACTTCAGATGCTGAAACCGAGGTAAGATTGAATTTTAACATGAAGTCAAACAGTGGCATGTGGAATAAAACATTAACATAGAGTTATGATCTCAGACTTTCCACCGCAATCTAGAAGCGGTGTTTTAGGAGGTTTAAAACATAAAGATTTTGCTGCTTCAATTGGAATGTTTCAAATTCTGCTTTCTCTTCCTTTCTGCCCAATTCTTTGATTGCTGTAGGCGTCTATGATGGTATTTGACATTCCAGATTTGCTCACAGGAAGAGGATGCTTGGGATCTGTTGTCTTTTCAGAGTCCTTTCTAACATCACAGATACAAGTAAAAGAAAAAGGTAAGTGTTTTAAATCCTAACCCCGATGTTGTCATTCTGTTAGCTTTGGTATGAAGAGCAAAAGGGCTTCTGATGGGTGTTATTACTATGACCATTATGTTTTTAAGCCTTTGGGTTAATTAAGACCTAAATGTTTTAGCTTGCTGGTAATGAATATCTTAAATGTCGAGTTTCTCTAAGCTCACTGAAAGGACTTTGGCTGTTGTGGCTGCCTCGTGATACAGCAGGGCTGAGGTGTGAAAAATTGAACTGTAATAGTACCCTTCCTAAATTTTCTTCAATGTTAGTGAATGTTTCCTATTGTATGAGGAATTTCAAACAGCGTTCTTCCGTCACTTTTTGTAGAACTCATTTGTACGTAATATGTTTTCATTTCAGTTGCACTTTGTTTGAAAGAGATGAAATAAAACTAGAAAAGGATATGATTTTTAGAAAGCTTGGTTTTGGAACAGTCTTACATTTAAAATACAGGATACGGAGTAATTTCCATAACTTTAGACAAGTGCATATTTTCCAGATTGTTTACACGTGACAAAGATAGTTATTGAGGTTGTCTGAACAATGTTTATGAGCTCTTGTATCCAGACAGGCTGTGGGTTTTTAACCATGGGACTTGGAACACTTTTGGTGGGGAGGAGAGCAAAGGAAGCAGCCATAGATTAAGACCAGAATAAAAGCAGGGTTTCTTTGGTGTTACATAGCAGCTCTGCGTATGTTACAGCACAAGAAGACTGGGAGCTAGTCTGCTGTGAAAGCTTCACCTAAACAATAATAAGTCCTGAAAACAATGAGAAGATTTTTTTTTATTTTATAAAGAAATTTCAAGCTGTAAAAGTAACTTACTGAACAGTCTGAAGTGTATGGATGGTATTATACTACTTTGCTTTCTATTTACTTCCCTGCAGATGGCAGCATTAATTCAGAAACCAGCCACATAATACTGACTGCAGCTATCCCAAGATATGCTTCTTGGCTGGTTAGTACACAAAAACTTCTTTGAGTTTTTTCTATACATGCAGATTCACAAATGAAAACTTCTTGTAAAAGTATAGATGTATGAGGAAAAAAGTACGGAACTCGGGCATTGAAACAGAATATTGATATATTAATCTATTCTGATTTTTTAATTTGGACATGAAGTGAAAAACTAGTAAGTGGAAACAGGCTGATGGTTCCATTCATAGCACAAGTTTTAAATTATTTCATTTTCATCACTTCAGTTTTTTAGCTGTATAAAGGCCTGGGTGTTTTTCAAGTACACAGTGTGACTTTTGAAAATTATGTTTATTGTGGGGCACTTTAGATCACTTAAATGTCTGCCCCAACAGAAAGAAAGATCTTCTTCCAGACCTCTAATGTAGTACACTGTGTTAGAGGTATAATTCCAGTGAATGTTACGAACATTATGTCCTTTGGCAATCCATATGCCTTAAACACTTTAATAAAAAATAAGACTGAATGGGATTTGCTACTTTATGTCTATACAATACTGTTTAGTCCATAAAACTGTTTAATGGAGAGTATCCCCTTGAATGTGTTTCAATGAACTATGTCAGTCCCATGGGAACATGGTATTGCAGAGCACAAAGCTGTCTTTGAAGCACTCTGGTCTCAGGACTTTATCTCTCTGCGGTACCTAAGGTTCTTGTTTGCCTTGAATCTTCTTTAATGTTTTTTATGTAACGTTAGACTTGCTTTATCTGTTAACAATACAAATGGAAACTGTTTCTGGCTACAGGTTGAAGATAGCGATGTGAAACTGTCTGAAAAGGCACAGAATATATTGAAGGTAAAATTAAACATTTTTGTTAAACTATAGAAGTTATGCTTCCAAGAACCAGTATTCAAAAAATCTTCGCTGCTAGCAAAACTGTCTTTTATTATGTTTGTTACTCCTCTTCTACAAAAGACTTGTCGGTTCTACCCTGTCTCTTTCAAACTTTGACCTAGAAAAAAAAAATACATTGTGTGTAAAAGTTTGAGGTTTTCTTTATTTCAAAGAATGACAAAACCCAAGGGCAAAAAGAGTTCTAATAAAGCTACGATTTCATAGAAGCCTCACTAAATATTACCCATGGAGCTCATGTGTTTCAAAAAACTCCTCAAACTCAATGCCACTCTATATGCAACTTTCTTTTAACTTAATCAGCATGTTAAATGTCTAAAGGAAAACACTTTAAGCAATGTGAAAAAGAAAAGAATTTGGGATCTGGGAACATCTTAAACCACATGAGTTTCACATTTGTGGTTTAATTTGTGGTTACCAGAAATCTTCATTATAAATAGATTTATTTTCCTGTAATATACTTTTAGTTCAGTAGATTGACAATCTAAAAACAAAGAGCTATGCCTTGTGGTTGTGACAATAACTTGTAACTTAATAGCTGCTGGCAAAACCAAAATGAGGGGAAGTGCTTTTAGAAATTATGCTCTTGACATGCTGTCTTTCACTAGTTCTTCTGTATCAATGCAGTTTAAAACTCTCTTAAAAGTTCTGACAGATGCTGTTGAGAAAAAGTCTTTTCTCTTTAAGCAAAAGCATGAGAAATTATTCTTGCCTCTAGTACAGTCCTTGTTCCAGTCTGTGATACTACTGTTTGTTTTTCCTGTTTAGGAAGACAAATCTTTTCTGGGCACTTTACTCACTGGAGGCGATGGAGCATATATTTATTCTAGCAATCCACAGGCCATGCCTGCAGAAGGTGAGATGTGGGGTTTTGTTTTTTAGCTTTTGTTTTGTTTTTCAATTGGTTATACAGTTAGTCCACTTTTTCTTGGCTTTTTTTTTTAAGCACATAAGAGATGCACACTTCCTAGCATTCACACATCTGATGAGCCTACCTATAGCATCATCTTAACCTTTCTTTCCATTTGCCTTTATAACGCTTTCTTGTTAAACTTCATGTCTTACATTTTTGTCCCCAGCCTCTACTTGAAACTCCTAGTCCTAGAAGAACGATTCCTGTCAGAGCCATAGGCTTGCTTTTGAGGCACGTGGGACTCTGGCACGATTGACAGTGAGGCTTTGCAGACCTAGGAGATGGCTTTTTTCCATAGTTACTCTTCAAAAGCGTGCACGAACCGACTGCTTCTATCCTTAATAGATGATACGCCATATGTTTTCTGCTTTTTCTGTGCCTATATGAACATTAGGTTGGAAAGAG